TCTGTTTGTAAATTTTTAAATATGTAAAATATATTTTATATTTAAATTTTTCTTTAATAATTATAGATAAGTAATTAGAAATGATAAAATTTTGAAAAATATTTTAAATTAAATTTAATTAATTTATATAAAATTTTTAAGTTATATAACAAGAAATATTTATATTATATATTAAAATTTGTGTTATAAATCAATGAATTTTAGTATGAAAGTGTAATTTTTTTAATTTTTGAGTGACTTTTAAAGGATGGCATGAACATTTTTGAGACTTGAAAGTAGGATAGATTGATTGACATAAAAATTATAGGAAATAGTTGTGTGTAAGAAAAAATTAACTTAGTAAAGACATAATAAAAGGCCACGAAGTGAGTCAATTAATTTGTATACTTTGCTGGTGTGAATAGAATAGTTGATAATGCTTTCATTGAGATGAACAGTTTTGAAATACTTGTGCCAACAGAATATGAGATCAAATGATAAGATAAATAAATAAGAAGAACAACACAATCACAGTCTACCAAATTATATAACAACAAGCTAGGTTAATGATGTCTATCCCCACAAGTTCCACACTTTGGAGGTTGTCGGTTCCTTATTGGATTTTGACGAACAATGTGTGGTTGTTCTGGTTCAAGTTGGTCTCGATCATGTTTTATTTGAGCATTATTCGTAGTAGGATTCGATGAAGCACTTCCATTGACCTCAGAGTGAAAGGAAGAAAATGAAGGAAAATTCATACTTAACATGTAATCATATGCACTTTATGGTGTGTACGTCGACACCAAATAGATTGTTCATGAAGCCCTCCGTGTGACCTTTTGTTGATGGTGGGGTGTACATCAATTGATCATGCTGCATATGAATTGGTGGATTCATTGAATATGACTGGGGATATCGTTCCACATTATAAGGTGAATAATCATCTCTAACCATTGGAGTATGTGATGGTGTTGGATAATGTTGTTGAAATCCTATAGTTGTTGGGAGTTGTGCACTTGAAGCAGATGCACTTGATGTAGAATATTGGTTAGAAAGAAATAATTTAGAATTTGTATGAAACAATTACAAATACTCAGTAGTGTGTTGGAGAAGCCCTTGAAGTAGTTGGCCAAAAACATCATGTTTGTGTCTGTCTTTCCATATGGAAATCCAATCTGCATGTTGTTCAGCCCAGGTTGTGTCGCTATGTCCTCTCATTTTTCAAGATTATGTGCTTTATTGGGAATCGGTTGCCACAAGCCAGATTGCAATTGGACTCTATCACTTTGATGTTAGACTATAACTGCAAATGAAGTTAAAGCAATGCAAGAATTCCATATTCTGAAATCCTTGTAAGCAAATCTTGGCAATGTGGACTCAAATCCCCTATATGGCATCCACTGAAACTGAAGAAAGAAAAAAGTTTAGGCTATAAATTAATTGAATAAGAGAGAGTATTTTTGAGACAAATTGACATTGTATTACCTTGTTATGATTCATGTTGTCATATCTTAATCTATAGCTAAGTAAATCTCCATGGGGCATGCTTATAAATCTTAACCCTCTTTTTGTACATCTAACAAAATTAAATATTGATTAAAATTTAGTTAGAATGTAATTGTTCGACATATTAAAGTGGTATATAAGTTAATTCATACCTCAATGCAAGGGTATATGTAATTTCTCGTTTTGCTCTTGGTTGGATGAAGGACATGTGATACCAAGCCCAAGATTGCAGTGGTAAAGAACATCCATCCATTTTCTTTGAAGATGGATAAATCGCCCTACACATTTCTCTGTACAAATGTGCTAAACAAGCAGAGCCCCAACTATATCGTCCTACACGTTCTAAGTTAGCCAACAGTAGTAAATACATTAAGTGAAGTTTGTTATCTGATTTGTCTTGCATAATTACACCACCAATCAACCCTAAAATATATGTCCTACAATGTTGGTGCAATTTTTATTCATGATTATCAAAAACACTTGTATTTTGGTATACGAATTGGATGGTTTAAATATTTCTTATATATAAATAAATAAAAATTAATTATGCATATAAATAAATATTTATTTATATTTTAGTATACATATAATCGCTTAAAATTAAATTTTCACTTTCTTTTTCTCTTATTAAAAATTTTTATTTTCACTTTATTTTTTTATATATTTTTCTATATTTTGTTTTTTTACTTATACTTTTCTCTTCATCTATTTCTTTCTTGTTTATTAAATCTAGTGCAAGAAATTGTTTTGTTTAAAGGAGAGAGAAAAAATTAATGGAAGAAATAAAAAATGTTATAATTTTGTTCAATTAAAAAGATGA